ACTTAGCAGCATCACACTACTCCCTACTACCCGCTACCCACAGACACTGGCTTCGCCCTTTTGCGTGCGTGCGTGCGTGCGTGCGTGCGTGCGTGCGTGCGTACGGAAGGAAGTGGCAGCCAACAACGTGCGCGGCTACACGCTGGGCATGCACGCGGCAGTGCCCCCACGGGGGGAAGGAAAACCAAACAAACAAAAAAAAGAAAGGAAAATAGAAAAAAGAGAAACGCAGCAAAAGCCGTACAAAGGCAAATGTCGTAGTTTGGACCACCATGCACAAACGCATACACACACGGAGAAAGAGAGAGAGAGGGGGGACGCTTGGGTCCCCCTCCTCACAGCATTCGCTTTCCGTCGTGCAGCTCGCTCTCATCGGTGTTTCCTCCGCATCCATTGTGAGTTCTTCACAATATGTTTTAGACCGAGTAACACATTAAAAGAGTAAAGGAAAAATTTTGTTTGATTTTCTTTTTTTTTGTTTTTTCCCCTTTTTTATGTCGAAGGTAAAATAATAATAGTACGAAATGCGCTTCCGCCATCCCACCCGCAGTTACTCGTCAGAGTTCAGGTCCTCGATCGCCAGCACAATTTTATCGTAGCTGGACTTAAAGTCTGGGTCCGGCTTCAGGAGAACTACTGACGTGGCACGCTTGCACTGCGTCGCCGTTCCTAAGTCCTGCCGCGAGGGCACCCACACATACGGAATCTTCGCCTCCTCTGCCATCACAGGAAAGTGCGAAACGACGTCGTACGGTGAGGCATCCGCCCCAAGAATGAGAACGCCTTTTTGTCCCTTTCGGATTGCTTTTGTGACGTCCTTGATGCCCTTCAAGATGCCTTTCTTGTTCTTCGTCACGGTCTTCTTGATGAGGGAGTACACCTTCTTCGTCATCTTGGGCTTCTCAGAGGTGATGGGCCACGAGATGGGACAGCGGTAGAGCTGCCGATCATAGTCGTACTCCTCTGTGTTTTGCTGTTCGTCCTGCTTCTGTTCAGTCATTGCCCTTCTTTGTTTCTCTCTCTTCTTATTTATCTCCTTTTTTTTTCCTGCAAGCAGCGGCCTTTACTTCGCTTAATTGCTTGCTTGCTGTGCCTCGTCAGTGCTTGCGTATTTCCTTTATTTTCTTCGTTGGGGCCGTGCTGCCGATGGTCAGAAGAGCCCGCACAGAAAATTGAAAAGGAAAAGAAAACAAACAAAAAAGAAAAGAAAAAAGAGGAACGCACGTGAGACGAAGTACACCCGCAGCCCTCCCATCCTTCTTTCCGTAGTGACAGGAGAGGTGTGTGGCGCCACGCACAGACAAAAAGAGTGAGAGAGCTACAGAGGGAAAGAAAGAAAATGTGTGCATGGGTGCGCCATATATCGGTGGGAAATACAAAGACGGTAATGAGATCAACACTTAGGCGCACTGCCACTCTTCGAATCCTTCATTGATGCGCATTTCACCCGTTGGGATTTTATTCCTACAAACAATCAATAAGAAAAAAGAAAAAAAAAGAAAAAAAAGGAGTGCGAGGGGAGGGGGGAGAAGAAACGTAAAACAACAAAGAAAAGTCAGGAAAAGGGTCCTGCACCCTTTTGTTTCTTCTCCATTTCCGATGGGGCAATGCCATAAATGCGGTCCCGCCAAAGGCACGACATGCCAAAACCTTACACCTCCTGCGACACCTGAAACATCTGTGAACGTGAGTCTCCGTCCACTGTGTAGAGCAACTTGACGCGCAACGTCAGCAGGCGGGGGTTCTTGTTGCTTTTAGAATTATCCACGGTGAGCTGCTGTACAATGCGTCCATACGGAGAAATCGCCGTAGACGTCAGGAACCCAATATTCAGCATCGAGGTCTTCGGCACCGCTGCCTGAATCGAGAGATTCTCCATCGCGGTGGGAAGCCGCGAGACAACAATGACGCTTGCGTTGATGACCCCCTGCACCACGGCGCTCACACTGGCGGTGAAATCGTCACAGTCAAACACGTGCACTTCGGCAGGTTGTGGGGGCTCCTTTTCCGTAGAAGCGGCTGCTCCCCACAGAGTTGACTGAGAGGCAATGGCCGAAGATGTATTCGACCCCAACCCAAAGAGGTCGTCTATGGCCTGAGCCGTGTTTTCGCTTTTGACGTTTTTCTCGGCCGCAGGAGTCGCGGTCGTCGGCTTGGGATCCACGTCGAACAGATTCTCCAGCGCCACGGCAGCCTTTTGCTGCAAAACCTCTGGAGGAAGATTCACCTGAGGCACTGGCTGCACCTCCGCCTCCTCGTCTTCCACGTGATAGATGGACGGCATTCGCGTAAAACAGAAGGCCGCCTCCTCTGCAAACGACTCCAGCAGTGTCGTATACTCGAACGCCCGTTGCTGCAGCTCACAGTCTAAGCTTTTGGAGTAGTTGGAAAACACAGTGAGAGCAATGGCCTTCGCCGACGGGTACCTTGCGGCGATTTTCATCAGAGAGGTGAGGCCGTAGCACTTGATAATGCTAAATGCACTGTTAGTAGTAATCTCTGCAATGCACTTCGCCACATCCTCAGGCTTCACGCTTTTTGCCCGGATCAACAGATCCACATATTCCCCAATACCCCAAACTGCCGCTACAAGAAACGCCTTACGCGACTGATGCAGGGCATCAAATGGGTAAGAGGCCTCGTCCCACATGAACACCACCGCAGAGGTTTGTGTCTCTGTCGTGTCTTTTGAAAGCAAGGCTATGAGTCGAGTAGCAAACTCCACTGGAGCGTACTGCTTCGCTAACCGTAGTACCCGAAGTGAATACTCCACACGCCACTCCGTATTGGGTGATTTACTCTCTATAATACGGCACAAATGCAGCGTCACATCCTCACGCATCTCCTCCGCGGAAACTGTCAGGTAAGAGACTAGGTCTGGCACCAGCAGACGTAGGTTGTCTTCCGTGACGAGCGCCACTGTGAGATCCAGCGCGCGTCGACGAATGGAGATATCGACGTCCTTGAGACAGTCCAGGATGGTGTCCTGATGCTCACGCACCGCGTTTGCGTGGCGGGAGGCATAGCCGAGGAGCGACTTCAGCGCTACAAAACGCTGATTGTTATCGCTCGAAGAAAGAAAACGGCTGATGGTGTTGATGCCTAACGTGCAAAGCCCCTCATCGCTCTCGATGGCGTAGATCGTTTTCACGCACTCGTACTGAACAGAGCAACCGACGTTGCGGGTGGCATCCGTGTTGGTGAGCACCTGCGCCAACACATCGTTCAAGGCCTCCGACGTCACGGCGCTGCCTGTGCCAATAATTCGCATAAACTGCAGCAGCTTAACCTGAAGAAAAGGGTCCGTGACGCCGAGCACATCCTGATCTGTCACCCTCGATGAGAGGATTAGCTGCTTCAGCACGCGAACCGCGGCATTGACCAGAGGTCGGTATTTGGGAAGAAATGCCTCACCTTGTGGCAGCCGCAAGCATTCATTTACAAGTGTGACGGCGGCGAGCAGTTCCCCCGGACTGCGCTCACGAAACATGTCCGTAAACATCTCCAAAAAGACCTCGGCGTACTCAGGCACTTTCTTCACAATTCGAATGGCCGCCAAACATGCCTTTTTTGACAAATACGTGTTTGAAGAGAGCGCCAACCGGCTTACCTCGTCAAGCATGTCGCGTGCCATCACTTCACTCGCAATATTTGCAACCACGTTCAAGGCCATGGCCTGAATGAGGGGCTGGCTTTGCGTCAAGTCCTGCTTGATGTGGTTCTCGGACAACGTCAGCACCTCGTCATTCTCGTCAAGCACCATCTGAAGAGTGAGGTAGCCGACCCGTTTGCCGGCATAGTCCGCCTGCGCAAGCAGACTCACTACCTCCACCTGCCCAAACTCCGTTGGGTAGCCAAGCATGGTGATGTAGAGCAACTTCAGCATGTTGCGTGTGCGCACCAGCGGTTTGTTCTCCCGGAAGGATTCACGAATGATGGCGCACTCCCGTTTGATGAGCGCCCTCTCCTCGGCAGAGGTGCGGCACTGTCGCACGGCAGAGACCAAGTCGCGAAGTCGCACCGCACCCACTAAATCCATTGTCCCCACACACACACACACACGTCTGGTCTCTTTGCTTCTCTCTCACTCCTTCTTCCTCCCTAACGTTATTGTCACTGTTGTTCTATCTATCTTCCTTTGCTTTCCTTCCCTTCCTGCAGTTCACTCGCGACAGATCTCCTCCTCTGACGGCGCAAGCCCCACGAGCGCACACAAAGCCAGAGATAAAACCGACGCAGCTAGCAGCAAGATATGCTTGCTGCGGCGGTGAATGTAAGGCGCAAGAAAAGGGAGAAAAAGAAAAAAAAGGAAAGTTTATGTGCGCCGACGCGTCACAGTCTCCCTGCCAACATGAGACACTGACACAAACGCAGTAGGCCCGTCAAAAAAAGAGGCGCAACAGTAGGCCCGAAACAAATTCCACGGGTGCACCAAAAACAGCAGAAGCTCGACTCCCTCTTTTTTTTCCTTGATGTTGTTTTATCCGGCTCGTTTGTGTGTCCCGTTTTTTTTTTTTTTAAGTTGAAGCTGTTGGTTATTCTTCTCATTTCGTTTTTGCCCTCTGTTACGGCGTTCCTTTCCCATGCCTACAGGGGGGCAGCGTACTGAAGGCGCGCACTCACACTGCAGGGAGGGGGAGGCGTAGGAAAAAACACAACAAACAGAAAAACAAAAAAAAACGACAAATAAATTCGTGCATAATGTCACGACAAACTGAAGTTCTTTCGTCCCTCCGTAATCGCCGTAAGAAGACGCGCCTTCATGATCGCCCGTGACGTGTACGGCGGCAGCTTAAAGTATAGAAAACACGTGTTGCACGACGGCAGCGTCTGCTCGCTAGTCCCCTCCAGCTCTTTTCGCACAACGGTGATTTTCCGACCCAGCCCTGCGAGCCCGTTCAGCGGAAGACGCGGACTGCCCGTGAGAAACTCAAGAAAGAACTGCTGCTGCTCCCGCGTGAACTCACCACCGACTAGAGAAACCATCATGGCCACTTCCCGTGACCCTACGGAGTAGCCGTGTGCCTCCACAATTGCCGAGCGCAGTGCCTCCTCACCAAAAAGACGCCCCTCCACACCCTCACGCGACACCCCAGAGAGAACGACACTCATGTCATTATCTGACACAAACCAAAGGGCGCGCAAGTCAAACACGGTGGAAATTCCAAGCGCAAACCAGCGAAAATTCAAGGTTGCGTGCACCAAGTGTTCCTCCACGCGTCGCTCCACGTACGCCTTTACAGTGGCAGCTGTCAACACCACACCACTCTCGTCCTCCAATCCCATTTCCTCTAATTCAGCGTCGGTTGACCTCATCATGCATGTATACGTGTTCACCAGGGTCGGCTCCAACTCTGCGAGAGTGGCCCACTTGGTCTCTAAGGAGACGGACCCTGAACGGATAAAGGGCCACGCCAGTGGAAGAAGGTCCATATTAATGACGTAGTCATCTACAAATGCTCGTGCACAAGACGCACCAAGAACAAAAAACTCTTCTGCATGCACCTGACGAAGGGTGGGAAAGGCTTCGTGTGTCCCATCATCCCTTTCATGCCAGAGATTTGTCATGTCTCGATAACGCTGAGCCAGCTCAGTGTACAATTCCTGCGTCGGCCCTTCGCCGGTGCCCTCCTCACCCTTAAAGTTGAACTCAACCTTGTTTCGTATAGAGGGGTACTGAAGGAAGGCGTCAAAAAGTACCCGTGTCATTACCTTTGTTTCCCGGCTTACCGTGAACTTCGTTGGCAGCCCGTTGCTTGTAATCTCTCCGCTGACGCTACCCCGCGACACCGCACCTAGGCCTTGCAAATGAAAAAGTGCAAATCGGCAGCACCCAACAGCGAGAAAATGAGCCGTGTCACGCTTGAATGAGGTTGAAAGGTATGGCGATGCTACCTCAAGCAGCTGAGCAACCCGCGCTGGGATGCCTAAAATACCTTTTTCAAATATGTCACCCCCAAATGATTCCAGCACGTCCACAATGGCGGACTCCACATCACCCCACTGCGGAGGGGCACCGAAGGCGCGCAAAAGAACCTGCAGCGGCGAATCAAGAACGGCACGCTCCATAAAATTAGCAGTAAGCAAAGGAACTGTAATGTTGCATTTGCAAGAAGTACCAATCTTAGCAAAGTGTATCTCCTCCTCCTTAAGTGTAGAAGCAGGAACTGTGGCGGGAAGAACTCCCTTTGAAGTGAAAAGAACAGAATGTTTTAATTCCATTTGTAATGAGGCTTCACCAGAGCCTTTTTTCGTCTGGCAATCACGCCAGTACCGGAGAATGTCACCAGCGTTGGCTGAAACGTTAACTTCGACCCGTGAAAGTTTTTTATTAATGCAGCCCATGCATATGTCATAATCGCATTCCCGACACGCAAGAGAACCAAATGAACTCGTTTTCTTGCATTTATTGCAACTCCAATTCACACTAAAGTGCACGCAAAGAAGGTGGCCCTTGGGGCAGAAAAGCCGACCCTTTTCACCCCGCGCCGGCGTACAGATACCAACGCTATAGCTGTTGTGAAACAAAACGTCGCGCAAATCCTTCTTTTGTCTTTGACCCACACCGGCGTTATGAAGAAGGCGAAGCATATAATTATATGCCGCATCTCGCATCCAAAACTCAACGCGGGAATCCATAGCAAGTTCCGCACAAAGCTTTTCTAACTCCTGCATTGACAGTGAGGAAGTCTCCAAGGCTTCAATAAATGCAAGTAGCTCGGATGGGGACGCGTGCAACAAAAACGCGGGTAGCTCTGCCAAGGGTGGTAGTTGCATTGGGGCCGCCTTTGGTGAACTTCCGGCGGAGCGAATGAGTTCAGCGACGGGAAGACGGTTCTGCGTCGTCGACGTGTTAACTGCGATCTGTTTAGCCGTCGTAGACGCTGGAAGAGCCGTGAGGGCGTCAGCGACTCCGGCTTCCAGGAGAACTGGAGCCCACCCCTTGTCACGTTGCAGCAATGCGGAGGATATCTCCTCCACCACATGTGGCTTCTGCTCAGACGAAAGACTTCGAAAAACGACAACGACATCCTCCGAGGTGGTGGGTGCCCTGCCACAGATAACGTATAGCCGTATCGCACGCGCCAAGAAAGCCGTCTTTGAGTGACCAAGCGTGAAGGGAAGTAATGCAGCTTGAATAAGCGCAGAGGTTTCGCTCTTTATGTGAATAGACGCCGGTGGTACGGATAGCTTTCCGTCAAAGAGAAACGCACTGGGTACGGGTTGAAAATGCATCCGCCTCGGAGATGAAGAAAATGACCGTTTATCAGTCATAGAGCGAAGATCAAACCTGTGACGTTCCTCAAGGCCGTTTTTGTTTTTCCCGGCGGCAAAAAACATTGCCGTGAGCTGCTCTCGATCATCGCTCCGGTATGGAAAGTACTCACCATCGACGGAGCGAAACGCCCACATATGGTCGCCGCGAATCCCAAAAACAGCACCGCAAAGCTTTGACAAGAGGACCAGCGCACTCCAAGTCAGCGGTGGGACCACCCACTGCAGGTTCGGCAAAGACTGAGAGGCATCCGCCCACAGCCGATCTCCCGTGGCTACGGAGGGAGAGTCATCATCAAATGGGCTAGAGTACTCCGCACTGGGGGCGGCGGTCTGCTGCAACAGTCTGGTCACCCAACCGATTGCCTTCTCATTTGCCTCTGAATAAGGGGAAGAGGCCTCCGCCACACTTGCGACGCAGGCTATTGTGAGTTCAATAATTGACGGAGACACCGCACTGGAAAAGACGCGTTCCCCGATCGCAAGAAGAGCTTCTGTAGCATTTTTCAGTGAGGCTTCCTCAAAAGAATTACCGGCCGTCTTCGCCGCATTGTCGTATGCTGCCGAGGCTCGAGCTCGCTTCCTCCGCAAGGGTAACTGTGAAACACACCACGCTCGGTACGTAATTATTCCCTCCACAACTGTGCGGAGCAGCTCTTCCCACTCGTAGTCAATGGGAAGCTGGGAGAGGAAGCCCAAGTGAAGCTGAAGCAGCTGCACTAGCAATTCATGATCTCCCGCATTTTGCACTACACCACTCCGCATCAAACCAGTGCAGTGGTGCAATACTTTACACGCCGTCCACTTGGAGCCGTCCAGGGCACTAAAGCAAAATTTTAGTTGCTCCTCTGTGGAGGGTACAACCGCGGCCACTGCTTCACAATTACCAGCCATCGAAAGGCAAGTTAACAGTTCCTCCTTCAGCTCATTTTCGGTTGTCTTTGTGTACTGCAGCCTTATAGGATAGTCCTTTACGAATGAAAAGACAGTTTTAAAACACTCTTCCACCTCCTTTGAGATTCCCGCCTCTCCTGGCAATGAAAGTTTTCGGGAGAACTTGTCGAGGATGAGAGCCAGCGCCCGGACTGCCAGGACCACCACGTTGCCGTCCTCCCCCGCCTTCCGCAGTGCCGTATTGATGGCGGCAAACACACGCTGCACCGGAAAACTGTTTCGCTCCTCCGCAATGACGAGAATTGTGCACAAGTCCGAGAGGTTCTCGTAGGGGGGCTTTTTAAGCTCACAGTCAAACTCAAAAAGCATTTGCTCTACCGTGTCTCGTTACTACCTTCCCTCACAGAGTACAATTTCAGCAGATGGAGGAATAGGGAACGAAAGTGCATTATGTCTGGATGCAAGAAATAAATCCGCTTGACGAGAAACACAGCGCCCAAAGTGTTTATATATATATATATATAAACACTAGCAACAAGTAAAGGGGGAAAGCAAGCAAAACCAAAAAGAAAAAGAAGCATCCATAAATGTGTGAGAATCTGCATTGAGCAATAATCACAAAGACACTAAGGGAGAGAGAGGGGGGGGGAGCAATTAGTTGTGCAAAAAGAATTTCCAACCAATCCAGCTCAAGTAGGTGCCGAGAAAAATAACGGGCGGAGACAAGGAAACTAGCAGCGTATAATACCAATTGAGATCCATCAGTGAATAATCCCCTTTCTGAAGCGGACGACGCCAACACATTACAATCCGCGATACAAACCAAATAATATACACCCATGTTGCCACTAACGACGGCCACCCAAGAAAGCACCGCTTATATGGCTGCTCTTTGTAGTCGGGAGCATACTTGGTCTGTAAGCCTATATTTGTTTGCGACGCCTGCGAAGTGGTAGCTGGTTTTTCGGTTCCTTCTCTGTGTGTGGATTCAATCTCGTCTTCCACCGTTGTCATCTTTGTTCCGCCGCCAGACGCTCAACAAGAGCAGCTTCACAGGGAAAGTGTAAGAAACAAGACGGCAAACAAAAAAAAAAAAAGGACGGGAACGGAAGGAAATAAATGAACAACAAATGCAGCCCGGCAACAAAATAATAATAATTAATTATTATTAAAGTGCGTATGAATTAGAGACAATAGCTGGGCGGTGAAGCAGCAGCAGCAGCAGCAACTGGAGATGCCCCAGGGAATCAAAACGACGCCGATTCGAGGCAAAACAAAAGGTAGAACGGTGTACCGTTGGCTCAAAAGAAAAAAAGAAAAAAAGACAGCAACAACAAGAACAACAATCCAAGCGGCATGGCGACACACACCCTCCCACTTCCCAGCAAAAGCCATCGAATATTATTTCCCTCCTTTTTGATCATCTTTATTGAATACTCTCTCATCCTACCCCTCTTCGTCGTCGTCGTTTTTCGATTTCTTTCCCCTTCCACCACCTCTTCTCGTCTTCTTCTCTATGATGCCTTTCACACTCACCTTCGTGTAAGAATGGAAGGCTTTGCCAACTTGCCGTAACGTGGCGTGTAGGCGCCCGGCCCTGGTGGACCGCTGCAATGGAGATCATTCCAATGGTTTGAGACGTTCATTCCTCGCCTTCCACGCTCGGACGCAGTGGCATTGGCCATAAATGCATTCTTCTGACGCTGCATCAGCTCCAAATCGGTGCTCAGATAGTACGTGCCCTTAATATTCTGAACAGGAACAAAACGCCGCTCACGCCCAAAGGTACCTGCATGCGGGTTATCCTCCAGCAGGAAGCTTCCCATGACCAGTGCGCTGTCTCTTTCCCAGCTGTTTCGCATGGAATCTTTCATCTCTCTAAAAACATTTTTTTTCAACAACCTTAGTCGCTCCGCCTCCGAAGGAATACGGCAGCTATTGTTGATGCTGGAAGGGCCGGGGTGGCGTACAGAACTGTTCCGCGTGAGCTGTGTACGCGTACAACCAGCGGCATCACTGGGAGCTTCGTGGCTGAGCACTGTACATTGCATGGCACTTGCCGAGGCAATAGAATTACAACCGCTAAGAATCACTTTGCGCTGTTCCTCAAGCACGGCACGGCGCTGCTGCAGCGCCTCCAATTCCTTTTGAATATCCAGCAGTTGTGTATTTCCCCCTGCCTCGTGGTCTGTGGCGCCCTCGGACCTGATGTGTGCCCCTTGCATAAGCCTAAACTTCACGAGTCTATGTTACTACCCCACCCACTAGCCGTTGTTCTCGTTGTTCGTTCGTTTGTTCGCAGAAATAAAAAACCGCAAGAGAAGGAAAAAAAAAAAAACGTATTCATTTGCCACGCCTCGGCCTTTCACACAAGTTATATTACCATTAATCCCTTATTATTTTAGGAACACGTCATCGTTTTTTTTGGTTTTTTTTGGGGGGGGTTTTTCGCCTCGGGTTTTATTCAGCTTGTTTCTCACGCCTCTACTATTTTCAATGCAGGGGAACAAGGAGGGGGAAGAAGAGAAGAGGACTGCCATTTCGGCCCCTCCACTCATCAGTAATGATGGAAGATTCAGTAGCACACGCGGGGTTGCTTCAGTAACAACGCACAAAGGGAGAAGAACGCATTATTGCTTCAGTTTTGCTTTTCTGTCTCCCCAGTTTATTATTATTATTATTATTAATAATGTGATTCTCGTAGTCTGTTTTGTTCTTATTTCATTTTTAATTTTTATTTTTTTGCTTTTGTTTTCTTTTTTTTTTTGTTATTATTTTGTTTGTTTGTTTTCCCCACAGTTTTTTTTCTACCGTTTGGGTTTAATTGTATTCACTGGCCGATTCCGCAGCAGGCACGACAAAAGCACCGGCGTGGCCCAGAACGCAAAGAGGAAGAATATTCAACGTAAGATATGGAGGAGAAGAAAGAAAAAAAAAAGAGACAAAAAAAAAGGTCCACCAACAACAACAAAGAAAAAAGAAAGTGAAGAAACAGTAC